TTGGTTAATTATTGTTTCTTTAAATTAGGTGATTGTGAAATGAATAATCTCTACTCTTTAACTTTTTAAAATAATACTTTTTCTGGACCAACTTCCTCTTTTCATTCGAAAAATAATAAGAAATTTCAACTTAATGAAACTTTTCTTGGCATTTTCTACTGTCTTATTTTGTTGATTTATTTTTAGTTTTTTAAATTCTTAAAAAAAAAATCAGACTGACCTTTCAAATAGATAATTGATAAATAATCACGAAATATTGTGCTATTTAATCAACTCATTGAATAAGAAAAAATAGGAAATTCTGAAATGCAGAATTTAGCTGTTAAAGTAGCAGACAATTTATATTGGGTTGGTGCTATTGACTTTGACCTCAGAACGTTTGACATTATTGTCCCAACCCCTTTTGGAACAACTTATAATTCGTTTTTGTTAACAACTAATGATGGAAATGTATTATTTGAGACTGTAAAAGAGCCATTCCATCAAGAACATTTGGAAAGAATAGAAAATGTAATTGGTAAAAAAGGGCAGATTAATTATATTATTCTTAACCATACAGAACCAGATCACAGTGGTTCATTAAATTATATTCTTGAAAAACATCCAAATGCAACAGTTATTGCAACAGCTGCTGCTCTTAATAATTTAAAATTTATTAGTCACCTTTCTACAACAGTGAAAACAGCTTGTTCAATTAAGTTAAAGAGTCTTCAAGTTGGGAAATATCATCTGAAATTTTTAATTCAACCATTTCTTCATTGGCCAGATACAATGATGACAGTAATAGAAGAATTAAAGGTACTGCTTCCATGTGACTTTTTTGCTGTTCATTACGCAGAACCAAAATTATTTGATGATCAAGTTGAAGGAAAAGAACAAGTGCTTGAAAAATTATATAAGCATTATTTTGATGCTGTTATGTCACCATTTAAAGCTAGTGTATTAAAAGGAGTTCAATTAGTTGAAACACAAATGGGATTTCCTGTTGAAGAATTACAGGCAATTTGTTGTAGTCATGGATTAATAATTAGGAAAGATATTAAAAAGATAATTGAAAAATATAAAGAATGGAGTGAACCACAAATATTAAAAAATAAAATAGTAGTTGTTTATGCTTCTGCTTATGGATATACTAAAATTATGACAAATAGAATTGTTGAAGGAATCAGATCAGTTGGGGTTGAAGTTTCAGTTTATAATATTATAGATACAACAGTCAAAGAAATTTTGAATGATTTTAAAGATGCTAAAGGACTCTTACTTGGATCACCAACAATTGTTGGAGATGCAACACCTCCTTTTTATGAATTACTTGGACATATGAATCCGTTTATTTATAGTAATAGACTTATTCAATGTTTTGGATCATTTGGATGGAGTGGAGAAGGAGTAAAAAATTTAATACCAAGGATTCAACAACTTAAAGTGAAAGAAGTTAATAAACCATTATCAATTCGTTTTAGACCAACAAAAGAACAAGAAACAGAATGTTTTAATTGGGGAAAAGATTTTGGGACTAAAGTAATAGACTATCACCATTAAATAATTTAAATATAATAATTAATTCACTTGTAGTTGTAATTGTATTTATTAGAAATTATATAATAATAAATGAAGTGAATTACAAATATTTTTCTTCTTCAAGTAATTTTAAAACAATTAATCTATTGCAATTACTTTTTTCTGATAAAGTCTTTTCATGAAAAGGATTTAAAACTTGTGGTTGAATTGAATATGACTTTCTAATCATTTGATGAAAAGTAACTTTACCATCTGTTGTTAACCAAAATGCAGAGTACATGGTAAAAATGAATTGTTTTTCAGTATTTGGATATGTTGTAATAGTTTTAGTTTCAAGGTTTTTTCGTGTTATTATAATTGGTTCTTTTTTATTAGCTTTAAATGAAAAAATGATACAATTGTCAGAGTCATTAATAAAAGATGTATATTTATTGTTTATTAATGGTTGGTTTTGATATACCCCAAATTGACAATCATCAATAATAAGAATAATAATAATATTTGGTTGATATAATACATATTCATTAAATGTTCTAGTATCTAAATCTTCAATACAACTATCATAAATAATTTTAAAGTCATTAAATCCAAGTTCATTAACAAAAAATTCTGCTTTTTCTTCAAAAGAAAGACCTTCAGATAATTCTATTGGAGAACTAGTTCCTGATGATCTTAAACTTTTAGGAGTTCTTGGACTAAACAATGTCTTTGGAGAAAGAATAGAAATAGGTGAAAATAATGAACGAGGAGAATGAGATTGTTGATTTCTATTGTTTGTATTGATAGGAATAGAAAGAGTAGGGACTAAAAATTTTTTATTTTTTTTAGTTGATCTCAAATCATCTTTTGTTATTTGTATTGGAGTATTACTTTGTCTTGGAGATAAAAAATGAACTTCTGATTCATTTTCTGTCAAATAATGTGCTTTTGAAAATGATGAAGAACGTCCAATCGAATGTACTGGATATGATAAATCTCCACTTAAACTGGAACTTTTATTTTTCCCTATTGAATTAGACCGAAGATCTCTTCTAAATGTTGCAAAACAAATAGCTGAATTACCATTTAAGTATTCTTCATTTAAAACGTTTTGATGAGAATGTTATGAATCAATTCTTCCAATAGGTTTAAATTCTTT